AAATAGAATCAGTAACTAATTTCGCGGAGGCTCGTTTTAAGGGAACAATTTCGGTCCATTTACTAAAATGATCATCAACCATAACAAGGAGATAGCGACTTTTATTTAACTGACTTTTTGGGAAAGGGCCCAATAAATCGATGCCGATTATTTCATTTGGAAATTCGGATTTAATACTATTTAGAAACCCGGCCGGGCGGAAATTAATATAATTAACGGCTTGACATGTTGGGCAGGACTGGACATACGCCCTTGTTAACTTTTGCAGTTCAGGAAAGTAGACTGCCTCGCGTACGCGTTGGATAGTTTTTCGAATACCAGCATGAGAAGCTAAAGGGCTGTCATGGAGCTCTTGCAGGATATTTAATCTAAGACTAGCTGGGATAACAGGTCGAAATTCGTTGTTGGAATTCGTAGTTTTTGTGTAGAATAATAGACCATCTATTAGTTCGTAATGGGCCGCCCTATTTCTTATCGCCACAATATCTTGGTGGCTAAAATTTTCAGGATCCTTCAAATACTCATAAATACTTCCAAACTCAGGATCCTTACCCAGTTCGGTTATTACAGTTTCTCGGGAATTTATTGTACACGCTGTCAGCATTGCAACTTTTACGGTATTACCCTGTTCGTCTAATTTAATTCGTGATAGGGCATCTGCTACGATATTTTCCTTTCCGGGGGTATGCTTTTGATTACCAGATTATATTCTTGCAGCTTGAGTGCCCATCTTATTAACCTTGGGGATAAATTTTTTCCCTGAGTACAATCTAGTTACCGCCGCATGATCAGAATACACTGTTATCGGCGCCTTTCCAAAATAGACTCGGAACTTTTGCACTGCTAACAGAACTGCAAGTGCCTCTCTCTCGGTCGCGGAATAGTTTCTTTGTGTTTGATTTAAAGTTCGGCTAAAAAATGCCACGGGCTGCTGATTTTGCGAAAGTACCGCTCCTACCGCATAATCCGAAGCATCCGCTGAAATTTCTAAATTTTCATCCTTTTCAGGAAATTTCAACACAGGGGCTTGCGTTAATGCTTGTTTTAATTTTTCGAAAGCACTATTGGCTTCGGCCGTCCACGAGAATCTTGCCTTTTTCCTTTTTAATTTTAACAATGGCTCAGCGATAGCCGCAAAATCTTTTATAAAGGACCTATAATATGAACAAAGTCCTAGAAAAGAAGAGAGCTTCTTTGCCGTGTTTGGAGTCGGATACTTTTGTACAGCGATTATTTTTGATTCATCTGTCTCGATCCCTTTTTGCGATATTTTGTAACCTAAATATTTTAATTCAGGGGCTGCAAATTTGCACTTTTCGACATTAACTTTTAGACCGGCCTCATTTAATAAAGAAAACACCTGTCTTAAATCCTGTATATGTTGGTCGAGATTATCACTAGTAATAATGATATCGTCTAAATAGATAAATAATAAATGTGGACTTTCCAAGAACAGGTCTTAACACAATGTCCATGCATCGCTGAAATGTTGCTGGGGCGCCTGAAAGGCCAAACGGCATTCGCAAAAATGCATAAGTGCCAGACTTGGTTATAAAAGCAGTCTTAGGCACGTCCTCAGGCCTGACCCCTATTTGAAAATAACCATTCGTTAAGTCTAAAGTTGTCATAAATTTGGTTGATTTTATGTTCCTTAAAATTTCTTCTATGATCGGTAACGGATATACCGGATATTTCGTTATGGAATTTAATTTACGGTAATCAATAGCGAATCTCCACCTTTTTGGATGCTCCAAAGGATAATCATTATTTTTCTTACATAAAACCACCGGACTAGCATAACTACTTGAGATAGGCGTTATGATCTTTTTACGTAGCATATCGGTAATATGCCATTCTATAATTTTTTCCTTATTCTTATCATACCGGTATGGTTTTTTGACGAACCAGCAATGCATCTCCGGTGTCAATACTATGGTTAGTAACCTGAGCAAATCCTGGAATATCACTAAATAAGGAAGCAAATTCACTTACCACTTGTCGGATTCTATCTTGCTCGTCATTAGGCAGGTGGTCAAGATTTAACCTTGGCGGTTCAACCTTTTCTACACGCACTGGTTTCATCGTCAGCTTAAGGGACGCTTCATTAAAATCCAGTGTAGCTTGTGCGTCTGAAAGAAAGTCTATTCCTAGGATTAAGTTTGCTTGCAAATTCTTTACTATAAAAAACATCCCCTTTACTTGTTCGTCCTTGATACGGATGTACAAAGGTACTTTACCTACGCACTTACATTGTTCTCCTTGCGCCGCTAATACTGTTGTATTATCCGCATTATATATGCGGTATTTGCGAAAATACTTTCTAAAAAAGACTTCTGCCACACAGGAACACTGCGCGCCGGTATCCAGGAGTGCGGTGGCCGGGATATTATTTACCAAGACTTCAATCTTCGGAAGAGTTAAATTTTTCACCATTACTGTATTTAACTGGTAGGAAGAGGGGTTTTCGTGGCCTTCGGATTTCCGCACCCTCTCGTCAGCAGAAATCCGTTTTAGTTTAAATTATTTTTCCTTTCGGTGCTTTCCTTCTTTCTCCACTGGCCTTGAGACTTTTTTCCTGGGTTGCTATTGAACTGTCGACGTTCGCCGGCTGTTTTTGAATGCTCGGGTTTCCTTGCCCACTGATTCGCTTTTTCTCTCCGTAGCCATGTGCTTGAGTTTGCTGTAGTCTTGGCGTACCAAATTGGTTTCGCTGTTGATATTGGCGTCTTCTTTCGACGTCCGCCGTTCTTCTACTTTCAAACTGGATTGCTAGCTCAAATAACTTTTCCAGTGTAGTCGGATTTCGTAATTCAATAAAGTCTTGCACTTGGGGTAGTAACCTCGGCAAAATCACTTGAATTATTTCAGGATCCGGACGGTTTCCATACAAGAGCTTGAAAACGTGAATTTTTCTTAAAATAAAGCTCGAGAGGTTTTCCATTCTTTGTTGATATATACTGAAAAGTTCTGTTTCTAATTTCGCACGATCCCTTACAACAGGGAAGGCTTTTAGTAGGGCAGTCTTGAAATTTTCGTAAGTATAGGTGGGACTTCCTGCTTGACCCAAGAGACTTCTGCCGATACATTTGAACCAGTTAAGCGCTTGGCCCCTCAAAGCGCTGGTAGCTAAGGTAACTTTTTGAAACTCGTGCACGGGGTAGAGCATGAAGTGGTCATCCAATTTTTTCCAAAAAAACTGGTTACCTGTGAGTTTCCATTAAACGTTGCTTCTTCTGGTTTCATCGAAGCGCGCATGGTCTGGACGATGTACCCAAATCCTTCCAGAGGCGGCAGCTGGCATTTCTGGATTCTGAGCCGTTTCTGCAGGCAGCACAGGTTCTTCTTGAAACTCGGCCATGGTTATTCTTCGTCGGGCGCCACTATCAGGTTCAATGTTTCTTCTTACCTTCTTCGGAAACATACAATGACCTGACTAGAACAGAGAGCTTACTAAAGCTATGTTCACTAATTGTAGTAAGTAGACAGGATACAGACGAAGGGTATACAAAACCCTTTATTTTTCTTTATATACAATGACTTCCGTACTTCGGAATACAATGACCCTCCACTCGGGGTTTAACGTAAAAGATATCAAAATAAAATTAAACTCTAATTTAACTTTAGAATAAGATTGGCCTTATAATAACAGGAAGCGTATGTAGCACAGAGACTGTGAACACTACAATACGTTTAATTTATCAAGAGGATTAAAACCTCTGGCCTGGAAGGCAAATAGCAACTGCGTAACTTCTAAGGTAAGCGGCCTGCTTCGAACTCACTGCTTCCTCTCTTCTGCTTGGCAAAAAGGCCACACTTAAATACTTGGCGTTCGCCAGACAACTTTGCATAAACTCCTTCACGCTTATAATTCTGGCCGGAAGTAGAAAATAAGAAGTGATAGTAAAGATTTAAAATAAAATAAACCTTAGTAAAACTTAAGATCCTTACAAAGCATCTCTCAAACATTCTAAGCTTGTTATTAATTTACTCATCGATTAGCAAATTGATGAATAAATTTAATTCATTAAAAATTCAATTCATTAGAAAAGGATTAATAAAAGAGTATTATTTAATTTTGACAGATGTCATTATTCACTTTGAATGCCATATCAACTTAATTATTAAAAAATATTCAAAAAATCTGAAAGCGTTCAGATTTAATATTTTATGGAAAACGAAGCGGGTTTTTAAAATTTTTTTTATTATTTATTTTTCTCTTTTCTTTTTATTCTTTTACATACGCATAGACGTTTCGAGAGCATTTGGGCTAAAAATATTTAAAAACAGCATCTGTAGAGTTTTCGATAAACATTCTCGCGCATTAGGGATAAAATATTTTATTTCATACAGTGTTGCCACTGCTCGCTTTGAAATCGTTGAACTTTTTAATCGAAAATTCGTTAAACTTTCACAAAACATAAAATAGATAATAAAACAATTTCGAAATACAAAATTCGAGCTTTCAGTTGGCCATATTCGGGGGGAAGAATACGGTATTCAAAATTTGATGGCTCTAGGTACCGTTGTTTTTCACAATGCGAGAAACATACACAGATTCATGCAGATTCTTTCTTATTTGATTTCGTTAAATATAATACGCGGCGATAATATTTGACGGCAACAATCTGAAAAGTGATTCAACGCTTTTAGTGATTCGACGAAAAATGCCATTTCGAGACCAACAGCCCTTTTCTGGGCTAACACTCCTTTGGGCTTAAAATTACATCAGTGCAAATTAAAAACAAAGATATAATCATTTATACCTGGATAAACTTATAATTAATTAATAAAAACGGTATTTTAATACCAAATTAAAAAAAATTAAAATTTGTAAATCTGAACTATCAAGAATTATATTTATTATTAAGTTGTAGCTCTGGACCAGTTTTAACTGACCTTCACTGGTTTGAAGATCATACCAATATATATTGAGTACAAAGTGTACGCATAGTGTGGGGAAAATTTGATGCGTTTTGATTTTGAAATGAAGTATGGATTACCTTATTTCCTGTGGCATCCATAATGTAACTCCACGTAGCTCCATCTTTGCTGTAGCTGACAGTAAATGCAGTCACCCATTGCGGCACCATATCTCGCCCCTGAATTTTCACTCCAGTCAGTGTTCTTTCATCGAAGAAGGCGATCTATGAAAATCAGTAAAGAAGAATGTGCTAGTTGCCTACTTTTATAAGAGAAAATATTAAAAAAAATTTTTTTTTAATTACACGGGCGTTATATATTGTACAACACACAAAAATTCCTGTCAAAGGAAGTTAATGATTTATTCCGTAAAATACATTTTTATTCATACTGCTATTTCCTTTAGCATACTGCTTCATTATAAAAGTTTTAATTCTCCTGAATTATAAAAAACATAGAGGATGTTGCTTTCTGACATGGTTTGTTATATATATATATATGTATAAGAAAACTTTCCATATACCATCTCCAAGGAATGCAAATTTAATTTAAAACCATGAATGAAAAAATTTCTAGTCAGAATTCAAATTAGTATTTTTAAAAGTAATTTCAATCTCCTTTTTTTAAAAATCTGCTAAGAAAAATATTTAATCGCAAAAATAACCAAAAGTAAATTTTAAGTATTGAAAAAGTAGCTATTGTCATTGATCTCAGATTAATCGACTTATTAAGGGAATAAATCAATCTACCACCAATTAACAACAACAAAATTAATAGCGAGAGTTTCATCTTACTTCCAAGTAAGCATCAAATTATTTGCTGGATCCAAACCATAATTCACAATTAATACTCAATCCAAATTAAGACATTAGTCCATTTAAGCGAAAAGAATCTTGTTAAACAAAATAGCAAATAATCTTTAAATTAAAGTTTCTCATTAAGAACACAATTAATCTGAACGAGATGATTATTTTAGAAGACATATTCCCTACACCCTCATTTTCAAACTCAAAAACTGAAGTAAAAATTAAAAGTTAATTCAAAATCATAAGAAGATTAAAAATGACACAATCTTAAAATTAAAGTTTAAACTAGATAGTTAAATATCAAACTAGTAAGTTAAAATTAACAAACTTGCTTTCAAAATTTTAAGATTAATCAAATGGCTGGAAATTCAAGTATTAAGTGATGTAAATAAAAGGGTTGTCGTAAAGTGCAGTTTTCTATTTAAGATAGTTTAGCCTAAATTGGCGAGAAAATTAGAATTCTTCTTGGAGATAATACATAGAGAGCAGGCTGTTACTCAAATATCGCTAAAAGCTGCTATTAGTTAGATAATAAATTCAAAATAAATTAATTAAAAGTAAATTAAAAAGCCTATGACTTGCGCTAAAGCTGCAAAGTATAAACCAATAATACACGCACATACATACATATATAGATAGATAGATAGATATAAAGTTATTTTCGAGGGAATACGGCACATGAGAAAGTTATATTTATAAGGAATATTTTCTTCTTTGATAACGAATCCTATCTCCTAGTACTAGCTAGAATTTTAACAGCTGTAAATCCGTTTTAAAAACAAAATTAAAAAATTATCCAAAGCTTAATTTATTCGTTTAGATAACTTTTTGATTTTATACGTTTAGATCACTTTTTGATAAATTCAGATTCCAAATATCCGGAATAAGTGAAACCATATCCCATATGAATGTTAGGAATATCCGGAGCTTATGAATATTAAGAATATCCGGTCTTTATTTGTTTGAAATTTTCTGTTTAACACATATGTAATGCAATGACAATGACAGAATTTTATTTATTTATTTTCTGTTAATGTCATATTTTATTTACATACAGAAAGTTACTTCGCGAAACACAGTTAAAAAAATTATTCCTATAAAACAAATACAAAATACCTTTTTTCTCTCTCAAAATTTAAATAATAAAATTATTTTTTATTTACCTAAATTTAAAAGAAATTTCAATTCCCTACAACCAAAATTAAAAATGCATTTTAAAAAAAAATTATGTTGCAACTCGCGTCAGGACTTAGTACTTGTTACCCCGATCCTCAAGTTTTTGATAGATTATGGTGGTGGCGCCATGTCTTCATAAAATTTGGAAGTGCCAAACTTTCCATCGGATAGTATGAAACCGCGTATCAGGGTTCTAATACACTCATGTCCATAAATTAAGGATAATGCAAAATCAGGCAAAGGAAGAGTTAAAAGCAAAACAAATTTGACTTATTTGTAAAGCTTATTTATTAAACAAAAGGTAAAGAGAAAAAAAAAAAAAAAAAAAAAAAAAAAAGCTATATGTTTGATATTATTAAAAAAATTAGCGATTTTTTCTCCGTGGAGCAAATTACAAAAATATTCACAAAAAACCAATATTACATGGTTGGTATGATTGTTAATACATTGTATGTCTCCCAGGCGATGCAATACAGTCCGTACAACGCCTAGGCATGCTGAGTATCAAATTATCGATCTGATCTTCGGGGATATTACACCACTCAAAAAGCAATGCTCTCCGAAATTCCGGTAGACATGTAGGAGGAGGTTGACGGGCTGCAACTCGTCGCCCAAGCATGTCCCACACGTACCCTACTGGATTCAAGTCCGGTGAGAATATTGGCCAGTCCATACGGGTGATATCCTCCGATTGAAGGCATTCGCTTACGATATTTGCACGGTGAGGACGGGCGTTGTCATCCATAAACACAAATTGTGCGCCCATGGCGCCCCGAAACAACCGTACATGTTGTTCCAGAAAGACGTCCCGATACATTTGGCTTCTCATGGTTCCAATTTGAACATGCAGGTCAGTTCTGGAACACAGAATAATTCCACCTCAAACGAGCACTCCTGCACCATCGTAACGGTGTCGTTCAATGATGTTTTCTTGGTGGTAACGGGTACCTGGAGTTCTCCACATGAAAGTCCGGCGAGAATCAAACTGCAAGCTAAACCTGGACTCGTCGGAAAACATAACACAAGCCCACTGTTGCGGTGTCCACAATGCATGCTCTCTCCAGGCTAACCGCAGGCGACAGTGAGTTTCAGAAAGTGGAACGCATCTGACAGGCCTACGAGCATATAGACCAATCTGCCCTAAGCGTCTGTACACGGTCTGCCTTAAAATTGTCGTACCAGTGGCCGAAGAGAGCTGACGAGACAGGTCTGAGGCTGTGCTCCGTCTGTTTCTTTTGGCAGTAACTGCCAAATACCGGTCCTCATTTGGCGTTGTAACGTCTACTCACATTACCATCATCTTGGAATCGTTGCCAAAGCCTGGAGATGACACTCTGGGCAATTCCAAGTTCGTCTGATACTTCCAGTTGGGTACGCCCACATTCCAGACGGCCGATAATTCTACCACGTAAAAAATCATTCAAATGCGTCTTTTGTGTCATAACTATTCGGTTATTGCACTGAAATGCTTATGAAGCGCCTGCGAACAATTTTACTTCTTTGCCTGTATTCCTTATATATCACTCTCTTACACTCTCGTCATTTGAAGTACCATCGATGTCATCTGGTTACTTCCTGAAATTTGCATATGATTCTTGAAGATGTGTGTAGTGATTTTACAGGTGATATATTTATTTTAGAGTTCGATTTCTGCGTGACTGCGAATTATCCTTAATTTATGGACATGAGTGTAGTTTAGCCGCTGGCTTAAAAACATTTTCCATTTTCCAGCTTCAACTCCTAAAAGCAGCCTCTCTTTTCCGGGAGGAAGGGAGATCGTTACGATAGTTTTATTGGACTAAGTTTAAATTAAGAAATTTTATTTTATTTGCGTAATATAAAAGTCTTTTTTATATTACTTAAAAAAAAGTCATTTTTATATTACTAAAGCATAAAAATTTTAGACATTATGGTATTTATCTAAATTAATTTAATTATCTTGTTTAAAAATGTACTCTGTACTTCATTTCCCAGTCATTTTAGAAAAAGAGAGAACATCAAAACACGCAAATAAATTAAAAACATGCTATAGGACTTCAAAAGTACAACAAGCAGTCTGGACATCTGGAGCTTAAGATCTACAGAATGCGGTTACGTGAAGTTTTACACATCAGAGTTTAACAGCCTTACCAATACAAACGATTTGGTAAATTTCATTTAGGAAAGTTTATAATCTTGACAGATTATAACTGATTTGACAACAGTTGGCATTCGCTGCAATCTAATGGGCAAACCCACTTATTATTTTCAACTCATGTTAGAACTTCAGACTGGAATTTGGATTGCATTTCCAATGTCCCTGATTAATAGGGTTTTTGCAAGTAATTTTCTGAGAATGCAAAAGAAAATGTAGCATAGGAATGAGAAAAAATATTGAATATAATACCTGAACATATTGATCTTTGTCCAAGAATTCTGTTACCCATCCGCCACTGTGATCTTCTGTCTGTGGAGTATTCAGACGGACAAATCGGCCATCGCTGTTCGGGCTACGGTTGCTAGAAGTCTTGATTTGATAATCTGATATCATCCCATTGTACAGTCCCATTTCTTCAATACATGGTGGTACTGTCGGCAATGATGAACAAAGAATGGTTAGTCCAAAATATACTAAGTTAGTTGCTTGCAAAAAGATACAAAAATGTAACAAATGTTGATGAAAGTTCGTAAGTGTGAGTCAACTCGAAAGTGATATCATTTGAAAGAAAGTTCGTAAGTGTGAGTCAACTCGAAAGTGATATCATTTGAAAGCATTCTTCAAGCGGAATTCATACAAAATATAGTTTTCTATCAAACTAACTTACCATAAGGTGTAGTAGATGGAAGTGTAGTCATTCCTGCAAGAGAAAATGAGATTTATAAGTAATGATAAATAAAGATTTGTTTATCAAAAACTGCATAAATTTGTTTGAAAAAAATTCTTTTAAAAAATTATAAAATCCAAGAAGTATCGTCCGTTGTTACAAAACACAAATTTCAAATTCAGGCTATAACTGATTTTTTATTTTCTTAAAGAACTATGAAAAATTTTAATTAAAAAGAATATTATTATCACATTAGTGTTCAGCATTCCATTTAACAGCGAAGTTCTAGCTAGTCTTTTGAAAAAATGATCAGCACTTTTTTAATTAACTTTTAAGACTCTCAAACTGTGGTTGAAATAAGTAGAAGGTAGTAAAAGGAAGTCTCGTATAGTAGAAGACATACATCTCATTAAGAGGGACATCTGTACTTCTATTAACAGAAAAACTTGAAATCTTAATAATAAAACAAAGCTATATTTTACGCTAGAGGAAGAATTCAAATCTCTGTTAAAAACTTTAAATCATTTCTATAAAAGATCACAATTAAAATGCTGAAAGGCTTCACAAAGGAAATTAGTTCTGTTAGTTATTTAGTATTTCATGTTTCTTATTTATCATAAAAACAATTCCAATAATGAAAAGATGGATTTGAAGAATTAGAAATAACCTTATTTAAACATATAATACTTTGTCAGGGGAAAGCATTTAGAAATAAATCTAGTTTCTGAAAATCATTTTTCATGCTCATGATCATCGAAATCGTCGCTTTGTTAGCCACACACTGGTCCCAATGATTAATAATATTGGAGGAGGACGACAGTATTTACAGAAGAAATTAAATACACAACGCAGATTCAGATACGGCAATTATTAAGACTGCAGGTTACGAATCTCAAAGAGTGGTGAAAGACGCCAAAGACAGACTGAAATTGAGCTGCAGGAAAACAACTGAAGAAAGGTTACAAAACACAATTAGTCCTAAGTATACAATAGTTACATGCCTAAAGGGAAGGATGACTTCATAGCTAACTTCTGAAAGGAAACTGGCCCGTTTTCATGTAATCGGAAAAAAACATTGAAAATATCATGCAGCCATTTCGTTCGCCGCGAATGGGTCCCAGGTTTTCGGTGGTCTTATCCAACGTTGCTATATTTCAAGGTTTGCTCCCGATAAGAGATTTTTGAGCATCTGACATCATTGATTCATAGTCTGTTCCTTAGCAGCGTGGAGAACTCAAGGTAGACAGACTCTCTTTCAAGTTCAACCTTTCTGTTTCCAACCCTCGAAACAGTGATGTAACCTTATTTATCTGCGAAGTAACGTCACTTTACTTAACGAAGTAGAAGAAATCTTGTTTTGGAGCAGGAGATCGATATCATCACGCTGGTTGACAATGGGTCTAGTCATTGCCTCCTAGATACATATCTAGGTAGATATCCTCCTAGATATATATCTAGGAGGCAATAGTCTAGTAGAGCAAACCTTGAGTTCATTTCTGTCCCTTCTGTAAGTGACGCCATTGAACTCGAGCGTTGGGAAGAGTCTAACGTTGTCTATATTTAGTGACCTTGGTCTAATCGGCGCGGCTACTGAATCGAAGAGAAGATATGGCTTACGTAAAGTGGAGAAAAAGTAAAAACTTATATAGCATGGTCGAAGAAAGTTAGAAATTAGACCATAAGGAAACGAAGGTAAGGATGAAGGCATTTATATTACAAAGTTGTTTGAAAAGACTAGCTTTGGTAACTTCAAACATAAAATACACGCAAACACGGCAGTTTATCACACGCAGAAAGATATAAGAAAATATGTTTTCTGATCACGATCATCCGAAAGCATTGTTGGTTACATTTATCCGAAAAATTGCTACTTTTATTCATATCTGATTACTTTTGTCCGAAAGCATTGTTGGTTTCCGTAACATAAACATTTAGAAATATTCATGAATCTACTTCTATTATCTTACTATATTTTAAATAAAATTATTCATCTAATGACAAATAGCTCTTTTCGATGTTTTTGACTATTATGCATTTATAAACTTGTTTATGGTTTGAAGAACAGAATTTATGGTTTTGAAGATAAGCTATACGACCAATCAAAAGAGTAAAAATAAAATTAAAAACATTCCTTTGTTTTTGGTGAACTAACTATTAGCCAAATCTAGACTGCACACAATTATATCCACGAGATACAGTTATCGAATAAAGTACAAAGGAATATAAAAATAAAATTTGCTTTTTACCTTCTGCACAACCCAATATTCCTAACCTTAGAGCAAGCTCCCTGTGATACGTCAGTGGCTGTATACGAACATAACGAGCCTCGAATGGTCTTTCGAACACATGCTCCACAGGCGATTCGTTGTCGTAATTACCTGAAAAAATCTGAAACCAAAAACACAAACAAGTTTAGAAGTAGCTTGAGTTTGCATATCTTGCTGTCTTTGGTAAGTTTAGGGTCTGATATACGAAGTTCTGGCTTGAGGTGTAGAATGAGATTTGAAATACGGAAATGTATAGCTAAATAACATTAGCAAGTTATTATGAATCTAGACCTAATTATAAGGGGATACCTTCCTTTTAACCTTACCTTCAAAAAGGGCATTACACGTAACAATCAAATGGTTTCTTTTGCTTTGAAGTGGATGGATTCACCACTCATTAATTATTTTTATTAAAATGATCCTGAGTAAAATCAAATTAACTTTGGAAGTTTTAGATTCTGATTATCGTTGATCTTAAGCTGGTACAAAATATTCTGGACATGAGCTGTCAAGTAAAAGTGCTAAGTGATTAAACCAGGGAATAAAGAAGACCGTGTCCTCATTATTCTCGTGAATGTTTCTTATGGGATAAAACTTCTTGCAGTCTTTATTCTCCCAGAAACGGATACTGGAAGTTGCCTTCTTTATTGAATTCTAAACAGTTAACCGTCTTTACATCGTTTAGCACCACATGCATGCAGTCTGCTCATCGAAGTCAACATAATTATTTAGCCAATTTATGGGCCGATCACATACTGTCAGTTAGTTATGCGGTAAAAAAGTCAATCTGTGGCCTTTTAAATGCTACCGTTTGGGATTACGCAAAATGCTAATGTATGTTTTAAATACACTCATGTCCATAAATTAAGGATAATTCGGTGTTACGCAGAAATCGAACTCTAAAATAAATATATCACCTGTAAAATCACTACACACACCTTCAAGAATCATATACAAATTTCAGGAAGTAACCAGATGACACCGATGGTACGACACAATGACGAGAGTGTAAGAGAGTGATATATAAGGAATACAGGCAAAGAAATAAAATTGTTCGCAGACGCTTTATAAGCATTTCAGTGCAATAATCGAATTATTATGACACAAAGGACACATTTGGATGATTTTTTACGTGGTAGAATTATCGGCCGTCTGGAATGTGAGCGTACCCAACCGGAAGTATCAGACGAACTTGGAACTGCCCAGAGTGTCATCTCCAGGCTTTGGCAACGATTCCAAGATGATGGTAATGTGAGTAGACGTTACAGCACAGGTCTCCCCAGAGTTACAACGCCGAATGAGGACCGGTATTTGGCAGTTTCTGCCAAAAGAAACAGGCGGAGCACAGCCTCAGACCTGTCTCGTCAGCTCTCTTCGGCCACTGGTACGACAATTTTAAGGCAGACCGTGTACAGACGCTTAGGGCAGACTGGTCTATATGCTCGTAGACCTCTCGGATGCGTTCCACTTTCTGAAACTCACTGTCGCCTGCGGTTAGCCTGGAGTAGAGAGCATGCATTGTGGACACCGCAAAAGTGGGCTTGTGTGATGTTTTCCGATGAGTCCAGTTTAGCTTGCAGTCTGATTCTCACCGGACTTTCATATGGAGAGCTCCAGGTACCCGTTACCACCAAGAAAACATCATTGAACGACACCGTTACGGTGGTGCAGGAGTGCTCATTTGGGATGGAATTATTCTGGGTTCCAGAAATGACCTGCATGTTCAAATTGAAACCATGACAAGCCAAATCAATCGAGACGTCATTCTGGAACAACATGTACGTTTGTTTCGGGGCGCCATGGGCGCACAATTTGTGTTTATGGATGACAACGCCCGTCCTTACCATGCAAATATCGTAAGCGAATGCCTTCAATCGGAGGATATCACCCGTATGGACTGGCCAGCATTCTCACCGGACTTGAATCCAGTAGAGCACGTGTGGACATGCTTGGCCGACTAGTTGCAGCCCGTCAACCTCCTCCTACATGTCTACCGGAACTTCGGAGAGCATTGCTTTTTGAGTGGTGTAATATCCCCCAAAATCAGATCGATAATTTGATACTCAGCATGCCTAGGCGTTGTACGGACTGTATTGCATCGTCTGGGAGACATACAATGTATTAACAATCATATCAACCATGTAATATTGGTTTTTTGTAAATAGGTGTTTTTTGTAATTTGCTCCAGACAGAAAAATTCGCTAATTTTTTTTTTAATAATATCAAACATATAGCATCTTTTTTTGCTCTTAACCTTTTGTTTAATAAATAAGCTTTACAAATAAGTCAAATTTGTGTTGCTTCTAACTCTTCCTTTGCCTGATTTTCCATTATCCTTAATTTATGGTCATGAGTGTAATTTACGTAAGTATAGTATAAATTTATGCTCATGAGAATTTAAATACTTGCTGGTGTCATTATCTTCATTCCAATAACGATAAAAATTACGGAGTAATTACTTATTTCCATGTATAACTTACCTTTTCTTTTCCATTGGTATCCGAGACGTAGGCATAGCCTATTCCGTCTCTGCTGTACAGTACTTTATACGATTTCACCCATTCTGGATATCCAGAACGACCTTTGGTAATGACGCCATACACTGGCTGGATGCGTCCCAAATCAACCTCTATGAACTGGAATTCGTTGATCTCACCCGCAATCCAACCACCGGCTGAAAGAAAATGACAATCAATACAATGAGTCATCGGCAGTTAATCGCTGTTAATTCCGTTATTTACCAAGCAGGACATTCCGTTCTTCTTGGCAAGTAACAGAATTCATTATAAAAATACCAGTGTTTACGAAGTCTCTATTATTGAACAAATCTAAGGAATAAGAACTAAAAGTTTCATAAATTACTTTATAATTTCAGGAAAACAGGATGCATGCCTAAGATTGCCATTTTTTCAGAATGACAGACCGAGAAATTTGTCTTATCGAGACACCTGTCTTACTATTGTCAATAAGTAATATTGGTGACAAAATAAATCGCTATTTATTCCTTCACTTTATTATGTATTTTCTCTCTTCTTCCAGCATGCATTCGTGATCTAACGGTAGCACACTCTGCACGTCTTCAAGAGGTCCAGGTTCGAGTCCTGGCGAGGGCATCGCACATTTTTCACATCTCCTGATTAAAAAGGCCTTAATGTCGCTACAGTGGCGCCCAAACTAAAAGGTGGTGGATGATTATTCTTCATCACCAGTATTTGGCGACTGGGTCTCCAGTTGCCCTTTAAAAGAGGAGTATATAAGGTATTTTATCCCTCCTTCCAGCATGTAACGGTAGCACACTCGGCGCGTATTCGAGAGGTCCAGATTCGAGTCCCGGCAAGGGCATTTCTCATTTTTCATGTACTTCTGTTTCGAAATATCCTAATGTCTCTAAAATGTAATCAAAAATAAATTAAATAAATCATCCTTATAATATTAATAATATTTTTTTAAGAAACTTGAGAACGTAACATTAGCATTTTATACCATTTCTCAGCATTTTTTGAACAATCACAAATGATATGGAATATTATGGTCATATGCCCAGGAAATATTTTATGATATTCGACGAATATCTTTAGAATGTTTCATATTCCATGTTCATGAATATTCCAATTTGAAGTATTCCTCGAAGCTGTTGGAAGGAATTTGCCTGTAACATTTCAGGCATATTTCATAGGAACGAAAAAGAAAGATTATATTCTTAAAAAGCTTACGAAGCCTTGAGAAAAAGGGCTTTGTGTTGATTTCTTACATACAAGCACCCCTCCCCCAAAGTGCTTAGACATTGACAAAGTAAAAGATTTTATTTCTGTTTATAGCCTGAATTTCTAGAATATTCTCAGAATGCATAAAGATTATCCCTTGGATATTTCATAGAATGGTCTGGCATATAAATACAAGCGAATTGGTATAGTCCATGTTTATTCTACTATATGACTGGAAGATTATGGAATTTTCCTAGGATATCCTCATATTCCTACCTGGAATATCTCAGGCATCTTCATATACAGTGTGGAACATTACCACATCTAAACTTCAGAGAGTCTACTAGAAATTAATGTACATGTACGTAAGGACTGCAGCTGAAGAAATCGAATGGAAAAGCTGATTCTATGTCTACCACGATATTCGAGTCACATCTAGACTTCATTTCCGATGAAGAGTAAAATTTGAGAAGAAAAAAGTTTTTCCAATTAAAAATCAGGAATGAATGATCTATCTTGTTTTATTCCATCTCATAAAATCTCTTTTAGGAAAGAAAAACTGGGATAAACCGATTTCCTGAAAATATTATTTTAGGACCGTGGCAACCGTACGAATACTTAACTGAATTAGAATCTAAATGTCCTTTAGCAAGTTAAACTATACCATATTATACTCCAATAACGTGATTATATATTCAGTTACATTCCCATTCCTAGATTATGAGGATATAGATGCTGAAAATAAAATTAATCATTTCTATAATTTTCCAGAAACAGAAAGATAATTTGTTATTTTTAACAGTATGTTTTGTGTACTAAAAACAAAAAAATATCAGGTAACCAAAAACGTTCGAACGGATTTCGTCACTCATCAAAAACGGACTACGAAAATCTTAAACAGCCATTTTATTCTTCGAAGTAATCGCCATTGGCTTCAGTTACATGTTACCAAGGAGGCAAGCTTATCAATGCCCATTTTGAAAAAACCCTTTTTTTAAGTCTAAAAATTGTGATACAACTTTTATGACATCCTCGTGTTTTTCGAACTGCTGTTCCCCGCAGATGGTTTTACATGGCCAAAAATAGGTAATGGTCAGAGGGGTCGATGTCCGAGGAAAAGGGTGGCTGAGGCAGAACTTCCCAGCCCAGTTAATGGATCACCTCTTTGGTCGCTTTTGCCGTATGAGGTTTGACATTATCGTGGAGAAGGAGAACTCCTTTTCCGTTGAACAGTGCTGGCTGCTTCCGGTGCATTGCAACTGAAACTCTTTACAGTTTTGATGAGTAGACCTCGAATGTTATGGCGTTTCCGCTTGCTTAACATTCATAGTGAAATATGTCAGGGCTCATCCGCCAAACACACAACGTTATATTATTTTAATATGAATGTCCAGTTTAGCGTCCAGTGAGACCAAACCAGAAGTCGACCGACAATGTTTCTTTTTTTCGGTTAACATACATGATCCATTTTTTGTCATCTGTTGGTCCAGGAACGAAGTTTTATTACGGCGCGACAGCAAAGACAAGCAGATGTTCAATCGTTGAAGCTTACTCTTCTCAAACAGGACATGAACAACCCACTTGCTTAGTTTCCATGTCATCCCAAGGTTATGAAGATATAATCAAATGGTTTCGTCAGATACTTCAAACCTGTATGGAAGATCCTGGCAGGTTTAATGAGCATTCTGCTTGAATTTCTTCTTCAAGCTGAACTTTATTATCGACAGTGAATGGACGACCAAACGAGGCTTGTCTTCAAGGCTCTTGTCTCCAGAAGAAAATCGCCTGAACCACATTTGACCAGTTCTCCAAGCATGGAACATATTATTTTAAAAGCTTGTACAGCATAGTTTCCTAATTTGTACTCGTAAAGCAAAAGAAGCCTTGAAACCTTGTTTCCCAACGACATGTTCTTGGAAGATTGCCCTTCCTACGAAACCAACAGCAAAACGTGCGGTGTACTGAACTACTACCGTCTTTTTCTGAAAATAAGACACTGTCTTACTTTCCTTTTTGGTCCAAAATACGCGCTAGGGCTTATTTTCGGGGGAGGGCAAAAATAAAAGTATATTTATATATTTTTTATTTAGTATTTATTTTACACGGAATACAGAAATTTAAATTTATTCAATTACAGTCATGTCATCTTCTGGAACATCATGATAAATAAAATTCTGAAATATATTCCGATTTTCTCCCAAATCCATTTCCTGTTGAATCATTGGTCCGAATCTCTCATGTCTTACGATACAGCCATCGTGAAATGAATACTTCTTGCCTAAGTAGCCTCTTCGTAGTGCATTGGAAACATCACTTTCAGTTATTTTGTCCCATGAATTTTTCCCAATTCACAACTTCTTGTAAGCCTGGTTTTTACAAAATTACCTCGATGATTTCTCACCATTCTGTTTTCAATATATTCATTGATTTCCATCCGCAAATGATCCTTGAATGGCTTGTTTATTGCATTGTCAAAAGTCTTGAGGTAACCAGTCATTCCTGCCGGAATATTATTTAATTTTTACCCATCAATCACCCCTTTTGATCCTCGACTCATTCTGTGGGGGTTGGAAAAAGGTCGCTGCGCCGTGTGTGTCTCGGGGATTACGGTTCAGCCCAAATTTCACCATGACGATAGTCTGCCGACGCTAACGGATGACGATGCCTTTCCTGTGAACGTATCTCTCTCGGGGCAAACGGTGAACTGGTTAAGATAAATTCCAAGAATTAATTTGAAACGAACTGTAGAGGTAAACAATTAATTTCTCGGAATATTTTGTTTCAAACATTTCTCTGAAATACGAGTATCAGGAAAGCTAAACATATTATTACTTAATAAATCAACAGCATTTTTTAACGAATTCTTTTGTCACATTATTTTAACTAGGGATTATTTTCGGGGGATGTTTTATTTTACAAAAAGTTCCTAAAATCACGATAGTGCTTATTTTCGGAGGATGTCTTATTTTCATAAAAAGACGGTATCTATTGCATAAGGTTCGAAAGCATTGTAAACATATGATGTCAACAGAATCAATTTGAGCCCACTAATACGCAAAAAGTAATTCTTCTCCAAAACCGCACGAATTTTCTTGGTTAACTGGTAGATATATTTAATTTTCTGTGAGGCACCACAACTGGAAACTCAGCGCGGCCTTAAATTTTATACATCAGCAAAATTTAAAAAGAAACGAGTAGAATAATATAAGGAAGGAAAAGTAAGCAATATTCGCGAACTGTGTTGGCCAATTCAAGGTTTTTATTAACAAATTATAAGCAATATATATACAGGAAAAATGTTTTCTAAAGTAAACATCTCGTTCAGATTAATCGTTCAGAGAAACTTTAATTTTAAGATTATTTGCTATTTTTTTAACAATATTCTTTTGGCTTAAATGGAGTAATTAATGTCTTAATTTGGATTGAGTATTAAATGGGAGTTATGGTTTGGATCTAGCAAATAATTTGATGATTACTTGGAAGTAAGATGAAACTCTCTCTATTAATTTAGTTATTAATTGATGGTAGATTGGTTTATCCCCTTGATAAGTCGATTAATCTGCAATCAATGACAATAGTTACTTTTCCAATAATACTTAAAATTTACTTTTTGGTTTGGTATTTTTGCGATTAAAGATTTTTCTTTGTAGATTTTTTTTAAACAGGAGATTGTAATTACTTTTAAATACTAATTTTAATTCTGCCTCAGCATTTTTTCTTTAATGGTTTTAAATTGAATTTGTGTCCCTTGGAGATGGTATATAGAAAGTTTTCTTATTATAAATTATTATGAATTATTGGTTTATAACTTTGTAGCTTTAGCGCAAGTCATAGGCTTCTTAATTTACTTTTAATTACTTTATTTTGAATATATATATGTTACCGTGAAAGACCGAAATTGGAGAATGTCGACTTTCACCGGAGAATGTCAACATTCACCAAATACGTCGGTGAAAGATCGAATATTGCGTTACATTCTTCTACATTCGGACCTTCACCGGTGTATGTCGACAATCACAGATATGCTCTGGTGTAGGTCGAAAAGAGAGGAGTATATGTACACGTTCATTGAAAAAGGAAATGTTCCACAAAAAATGCAGTTGTAAAAGCAAGGGCCTCTTGTGCAATTCAAAGTGTCATAATAGTTTAAGTTATTGCAATAAATAAGATTTGAATCACATAATTTAGAAAGTTTTAACTTCTATTATTTTCCTCTCTCATTTTGAATCTACTGTGTGTTTTAAGTTCTTATGTTAAGTCTCAAGTTCTTTTTCCGCGACTGAATTACGAAGAAAATATAATACTATTCTTATATGTTCAACATTCACCATTAGTACATGGTGAATGTCGACATTGACGGGTGTAAGTCAGAAATAAGAGTATTTGGAAAATATTTCGGACATACACCAAGCGACTATGTGAATGTTGACATTCACCGGTGAAAGTCAACATTCTCCAAATTTCGGTGTTTCACCGTAACATATATATAATAGGAAATACACATAACAAGATTAAAATAAAAATATAACCATTTCAAAACTGAAACAAAAATTAATAAAACTGGTATAAAATATAGAAACTTGAAAATTCCTGAGTCTTTTACAGTTACAGACGAAAACATCGCAAGGCGGAAACACATCGTTGTACGAAACACAGTGCAAGTCAAAAAAGCAATAAGAAAATATCGCATTTCTGAAACAGTATGGTGTCAATACCGTCGTTGAAAATAAAGCGATTCAAAAACATCCCAGTTTTAAGATATCATCATTGAAAATATCGTCGTAAAAAATAAAGCACCTACAAATCATTGCATGAGGAGATTAAATCTCAAGAATGCGTTTTTCAGGTTTAAAAGTTGTAAATGCATGTTCGCATAATGATTTGGGAATGCAAAAAGAAATGAAGAAATTTTAACTTTTATATTTCATATTTTTGAATTAAATAAGAAATTTTTGCACAAAAATAGGAAGAAAATAGAAGCTTTCAAAAACTGAAAATGAGTAGAAAATTAATGCTACTTATAGCAGTTAATATAGTGTTAAACATATATAGTTAATTAATAAAAGTCAATAATACCTTTTTTTAATGTTTTATCGCAAATTTTTCATGAAAAATATATTATAGAAAATATTAGAAAAGGAAAATAAGTAACTGCATGAAATTACCTTTATTAAAATTGTCAAATTAGTTTTCAAATTGTAAAATTATTTTCTGTCGCCTTTCTTAATTTGATTCTTTTAGTGAAAATCAAATCTTGTTTTGTTACACTTCATTCATCTTCTTAAAGTTCAGTTTCATGCACAGTATACAGTTAAATTTCAGGTACGTCAATTATTATTGAAATTAAGTTTATTCATTTATTAGGTAAATATGAAATATAAAAATAAAAATATTCCTCATTTTTTTCCTTCGCTCCCAAATCATTTGCATTTATTTGCATTTATAACTTCCAAAGCCTGAAAAACGCACCGTCTGCGATGTTATCGTCATGCGACGATTTGTAGGTGATGTATTTTTTATCATGATATTTTCGACGACGAGTTTTTGAACAGCCTTTATTTTCCACAACGAAGTTTTGTACCACAATGTTTTAAGAGTAGCGATGTTTCCTCCTTGCTTTTTTCCCCCTCCCACGTTGTTTTGTATGACGACGTTTCGCTTTGCATTGTTTTCTCCGCAACGGCGATGTTTTCGGAGGATACCCATTTTCAAGGAGCAGCCAAAGAACTTTCAAGAGAGCTCCGATTCTAAATTATATCTAGATGATTGTCATCTAGTTGATTACTTCGAAAACGCCGATTCTTCTTCTTTCTTTCTTCTTTTTCTTTCAATAGAGATTTTCGAATAAAAGGTTAAATGCTTCTAATGACAGTATTTTTCAAACTTGTTAGTCAGTCTCAAAATTTAGGTTATTGCTGCCACTACGCCAAAATGATGTACCTGAGTTTTATGCCATTTCCCCTTGATACCTTTTTTCCATTATTTTTCGGAATTTCACAGTAGGCTAAAAGGCAGAGATGTATATTTTATAAATAAATATAGAGAATTATTGGGTAGAAGGAATTTTCTTAAAATCAGACCCATGTGCCAAACTTTCAAATACGTTTTTTTTGGAGCAATGATTTCACAAATTCGTGATTTTTAAAATGTAACATCGACGATATCATTAACCTTCTTCTCTCAGCATCCTATTTCTTCTGATTACTATTCACTTCAACAATATAATAATGATATTTTGACAGGAGCTGAGTTTCCATGCTTTGCGTTTATCGTAAATTAACAAACACTAATTTTTTAAGAGGTGGTACTTAATGCTTCTTGAAATGTTTAAAACTATATATTTTCTTCGATAAGAAGAATTTTTTTTAAACCCAAATTACGGTATACTTTGTTGACATGCACTGTAGCTTCTACTGTTAGAATTTTTCAATATTACGCATTTTTCTTAGCTGCTGTCACATCTTCATCTATTTCAAAAGAAAAGGAAATATTTCCTGTAAAATATAATTGCAGCAAGAAGAAGGAAAAATTAAAAAAACATTTTTTTGGGCATTGCGATTTGGAAAATTAGAAATTTGATTTATATTAATACTTGAATGCTTTACTTCTGAGATACATTCAGAAAGTTTTTAACATGCTCATATTTAAATTTAAAAGTCTTTTCTGCTCTAGGTAATAAAGTTAGTACTAAATTATTACATAAAATGGAAGTAAGAACTAAGTCATCTTCGAGATAAAAGAATAATGCTCTTCTTATGTGCATGTGATTTAGAAATGTGATTCATTTTTTTAAACACTGCATAAATGTGTTCTGATGACTAATAAATTGATCGTGCATGTGATTTAGAAATACAGTTCCTATGCATTTATGTGTTCTAATGACTAATACACTGATTACGAAATTTAGAATATTAATTCATCAGTCATTAAATTTTAACAGAAATGTATCAATATTCCACGAAATGAAGAGACTTTTTTTTTCCTCACCTGAATAGCTAGTGACGACGGAACTCAACCTTGCGTTGTGAGGCGCACTATCTTCACTTCGACTACTTGATGCCTTCAGACTGCTGTCTGGCAAAGGTAGTGGACCATCCACAATGTCGTAGTAAATAGTGCACGGTTCTGCAAAGTTAAAAATCATCATTTCATTTGATGCACGCCATCAAAGGCATTTAAATATTCTACAATTCAGCACAGTTTCTTTAATAAATTTCTTAGAAAATGAAACAGATATCAGGTATCCTAGCGAAAGAAATGTTTACTTGTTTTAGCAAGTTTGTTCAGAGCTTAAATTGTATAAATATTCATCTCCATGAAGGACAGCCAAGCGACATATCGTCCTGTCCTACTTTTTCAAGGGTTTAAAGTAAACCCTTTTATTAGTTCTTCAACCAAACAATTTATAATAACAGAAGATTCCGCTGCTTGGGGATTAACTGAAAACACGAGTTGCAAATTTAAGTATTTAAAATATGAGATTTGCATGAGAAAGCCCGATTTTAAGTTTTCGCTCAAGTCTCGACACACGCGTTGAAACATGGTTAGCAAAAACAAGCGAGGATTCATAAATTAGGAAAAAATGGTAATGGGACGGCAGGTTATGTCAAGTCAGGCTGAAGTATAGTGGGCGCCCAATGTTCAACCATAGGTGACTTTGGTATAACCCAACTGTATTAACTATTTAGACGCAACACGCGGAAGGAAGCCATAAGAGACCCTCCAAAGTAACCTTGAAAAATGTTTTGGAGCTTGTCCTTTTTGCACCTGTAGAAACTTGAAACAGTTGGTGCCTTTGGCTTTTATAACGATTTAGAACGTATATCTAGAGCAGTTGGTGCCTTTTGCACTTGGATTTAGAATAGCCGGCGCTCTTCACCCTTACATAAATTTGGAACATGTGGTGCCTTTCGCAGTTACAGTAATTTAGGACAATTGGTGCCTTTCGAACTTATAATCATTTAGAAAAGTTGTCTTTTTTCGCACTTATGAAAATTAGACTTACGAATCTCTGATAACTGATATGTAATTTTAATAAAATACTTATTTGCAAAATATTTGTATATAATACCTATTATTTACTAGTTCGTTTATGCAAGGACTGTTAATGCAAAAATTCTTTTATGCAATGCAAAGTTTTTTGCTATGAATAGTTCCTTTTTGCAGAGTTCTTTAGGAAGACGATTATCAACCGCTAGCGAAATCTCTAAGTTAAATTCAAGAACCCTGTTCTTGTATACATTAACTAATTTGCATCCTGACGGGAGATACATGAAATATATGTGATAGTATAAACAAAATAATGGTAAGTTAACTGGCTAATAGGCATAAAATCCTACAAGTTGCTTACAATGAAGGAAAAAATTTAGCAATAAATGTTAGATAAGATACAAATTATAAATTTACTTACCAACTGTGATAGGTGGTATTGTTGGTCTCGTAGTAATGATTGGAGTCGTTGGAGTAGTAGTAGCTTCCTCTGAAAAGAAAAGGAAAAACATGAGGCACATGGTATACAAATACTTATTTATTACACTTGTAGAGGCTTTAGTCATTAACGGTAAACTGTTTTAGATTTTAACTTATATTGATTCACTGTCTACAGCGCAGAGTATTTTGTTCTTCGGAATATTATAACGAGATAGACAAATACACTTTTTCTTTCTAAATAAATACACTTTTTCTTTAAAACAAACTTCAAACTAAGATTGAATTTCAAATTTGAATGTAGCATATTTCTCTTCCATGCATATGTGCATATTATTGGCGATCACTAACACGCAGGAGCAGGGGTACGAAAACAATAAAGAATTTGTGAAAATCATCCTTTAAATAAATGAAAATCAAGATTGATGCAAATAGTGTTGTAAATTCTAATTTATTTTTTATACTAACTGTTCGGACTGAGTTCATGCCTTATCCTTTCTCTGTTCTCACAATCCTTTTCTATAGAAGACATTTTTGTGAAGGATATATTGACAAAAGGGAAAATGTAACAAGAGGAAGTTATAAGGTATTTCTTCGGTCTTCTTAGCAAGCCTTCGTGGTGTAATGGAGAGGCTCGTGGTTCGAGTCCTGGCGAGGGCATTGCTCCTTTTTCACGTCTCCTCCTTCGAAAAACCTAAAACCTAAAACAGTGGCGTCCTAACTAAAAAAGGTGGTGTATGATGATTCTCTACCACCAGGAGTTGGTGATTGGGTTCCCTAATCACTAGTTGCCCTTTAAAAGGAGGCGTATGTAAGGTACTTCTCCCGCCTTTATAGCATACCTTCGTGGTGTAATGGTCTGCACACTAGACGCGAATTCGAGAACTCCGAGGTCCCGGCGAGGGAATTGCTCATTTTCAAATTTTTGCTCATTTTCTCCAGCATCGAAATAAGATAATGTCTTTACAAAGTTAGAAGAAAGGAGTTTTACTGGGGTTGAGGTGACGACCAGTCCGGGCTGTTACTATAATGTCGTAAGGACTAGTACCTTGATTTTCTTAATAGGTCTAACACATAAAGCTGATATATAGATAAATAATTATAGGCAAATTGGATGGTGAATTCAAATCAGTTAATCGAGTGGCAGATTGAATACAGTAGAATCAATGTTCTTTCAAGCAGAAAATGACGTTCTGTTTCTTTCGTGAGATGTGAATACTGAACAGTAATTAATACTTAATTTTCTGAGTTGTTTCTTATAGAAACAATGGCAAGAAAATTTAGTCCAAGGAAGGATTATCCTACAGCACTGGCATTCTGTTTTCGGAAGATGGTGAAGTTAAGAACTCAGCTAGATCTTTGCCGTGCGCAAAACAACTCTTGGGGAAACCGAGCTAGAAGCATTGGTTCATGTTCTGTGTTTATCCGAGAACTGTTACAGAGATGAGAAAATAGCTTTACGCTCCTGTAAAATACTTTACGGCTATCACCGCACTGCATTGTCTGTTCGAATAAAGAACCGAGATCTTTTTGTTCCGAGAGCTGAAGGAAAGAAGAAACGATTCCATTAAACTGTGAATGGTAAATTTCTCCAGATTTTAAACTTGACTTTTCGCTTGGTCGGGATATTAACAACGAAAAATCTGTGATTCCGTTGAAAAGCTGCAAAGCACACTCAGCTTGGTAGAAGAATTCCATAGTATCAAGTCTTGATATTTTATAGCTGAAAACTGTCAATGCTGCCTAAATAATTATCTCCAACGACCGAAGTGAAAATTCTTTGGTCGCTTTTAATTATTGCTGAGAGTGGCCAAGGCATAGTCCTCTTCTGAAACTCGGTCTTCCTTGATTGCCAAAAGGCAACCAAAGCACACGCACTGGAAATGTGCAAAACCTACATGCCTTTAATTTTTTTGAATTTTGTTTTGTATGTTGATAAGGAAAGAAACATCTAAAAATCCCATTGTTGCAGGAAGAGCTGTAGTATAACTTGGACTCGGAACAATAATTTTGGAATACATTACAGTGTTTTAAAATTGTTTAAATTATGATCTGTTGCTGTTGATCAGAAATTATACTCTTGTTATTCAACAAGGGGTCACGTTAGATCGGTAATTAATTTTATTAAGTTTTCGACTGATTTGCACAGAGCCATAAGACATTTCTAAGGTCAGAGATTCTGAGTTCTGTATACGGTTTAGGTATTGAGTTTTAAATAACTGTTTAGTTTCTGACGTATTGTTAAAACAAAGCCTAAATTTGATTGATAATTTATTACTTTTTCTGAAAACTTTGTAACAATTGTTTACAATTTCTGTAACTTTCATATAAAGAGAGGAAAAACACTCGCGATTTAAATATTCGTGTAGTGTATTTTGCGATTTACTTTATCAGCAAACTTAAATTCCTAGAATTTAACCCTTTACCATGCAATGAAAATACTCAATATAATACATTGCAGTGATATTAATGTGATGATAATAATTAATAATTAAGTTCTGCCATTATGGCAAAGCAGTTATTGTCGGGTTTTAACGAAAGTTTTCCGCCACCGCAAATATCGTCTGCGCAAATAATTCGCGTTGGCGTGTTTAATCCTGTTTTGTCACACGAATTTTGAGATTTGAAAGAAAAAGACTTGCTTTAGAACACTGTTTTGTGAAATTTCTAAAAAAATATCTGTAAAGATCATGACTTGTAAAGATCGTGACTTATAAAGATCATGACTTGTAAAGATCATGACTTAAAGAGAACGTGAAATATAAATAATAGGACAAGAATTTGCATTTTACGGTGTGGCAACAAGAGGAGAATTCGGAAGATTTTTATATATATTTTGTTTTGAGAGAGTGAGTTTAAGATTTTGAGTATTTTAATAGTTGTAAGAGTTTTAACTGTAGTAGTTAAGAGTTTAAAATTTTAATAGTTAAGAGCTGCAGCATTTTATTTTTTTTTTTTTTTTTTTTTTGTTCTGTTCTAAAATTCAAATAAAAGTATTTTGTTCATTCTGAAAATTTAACTTTGTTCTTCCTACAAGGTTCAATATCCGTTATATTGAAATAAGGAAAGGATTTTTACTGGCGCAGCCGACAGGATCGGGGTTTCCCCGCATATAATTACGAACCAAAATAACTCAGGTGAGAGCTCAATTTACCTTGTAAACGTAAAATAATTAATTAAGATTATGAAAAGTTAATTATTGTTTCCGTCATGGAATCTTAGTTTATTTACTTGTCAAAGTAATGAATACGCCAGTGTTCAAATGTAATTTCGTTTGACTCGCCAGAGTAGGTGAACAACACATTAAGTATTGATTCCACTGATTGATTTTCGTGCCGAATAAAATTAAATTCATTGTGAATTATATTTAAATAGAAAAAGAAAAATATGCTTTTCATAAAACTAAGAGTCTATTGACTGAATAAAATCAGAAATCATACTTGGCGTCAGCCATCTGCTACAGTGTTACACATAGAAACGATTTTTTTTTTTTTTTTTTTTTTTTTTTTTTTTTTTTTTGTTGTTGTTGTTGTTTCCCCAACGAAAGAAAAAACCGCAATCAGGGAGTTCATACTTTAACTAATGTTAACGATAAATTAAAGGACGCATTAACAAGAAATTAGTTTTTTTTTTAATTTGCAAAGAATAAGGTTTATTTAAAATCGAGACATGGCTTTTATGGGACGTGGGAAAAAAGAGGATTTGGTAGTTTTAGCTGCTGAATTAGAAATTCAAATAGATCCAAGTATGAAAATCGTGGCGATAAAAAATGAAATAATTCAAAGTGATACATATGATGAAGCATTTACTAAAGAAGTGTTTTTAACGATTGTTGAAGAGCGGAAAAGAAAAAAAGAGGAACAGCGAAGGAAGGAGAAAGAGACAGACGATGAACCCTCACCAGTTGAAGACAATACTGTTACGAATTTGGTATTTAAAAAGCTAATGTTAGTTCAATTATAAATTAAATGGTTTTATTTCTCGCGCAGTGCAGCGCGTGACGAATATTAAAAGAAAGCTAAGCCGGAAAAATTAAAAATACAAGAGCGCGTGCGTTAAATAAATAAATATCTCTTTTTGATTTCGAGAAAGTACTGGAAAATTCTAGCGCGTGATTTTAAAATCTTATAAAAGGAGGAAAACATCTCAGTTTGTAGCAGTTGCTTAGTTTGTTGTTGTTTAGAAAACTACTGTTGTTGATTGTAGCGAATTCGCGGATTAGCGTTCTTAGCTGTTTTTGAATTACGTTCTATTGGACATTTGAGTAGTTAAAAGATAACTACTGTGAGATATTGTAATACTGCATGATAATTTGAGAAAATTTAAGCATTTTTGTTGTGATAATAATAATTTTTTGTTCATTTTTCATCGGACTTGTGCATTCATTTCATAACGAACCCGTTCGCACGCATTAATACTACAAATTTGGCTGTTGTTAATCAGATTTCCCAAGAAAACATAGTCTCTGAAAACAACGAACAGAGTAAGACTAGAATTCAAGACACATCAAGAACAAGACTAAACTCTGAAAAAATGCTTTGAATGGGCAGATAAAAATCAAAATGCATATACTTTCGATGATGGCATATTACTTCATTCCGAATATATCTGTGGTGAAAACATTAAGTAAGTTGTGTTGCCTTTAGAAAAAAGAAGGGAAGTCCTAAGAATGGCACATGAAATCCCTCTTGCCGGCCACCTCGGTGAGAAAAAGACAATTCAACGAATCAAGTACTCATTCTTTTGGCATACTATTAAGCAAGATGTTAAAAAATTCTGTGAAAGTTGTAAAGAATGCCAATTGAGGAGAACAGTTACGTACAAAGATCGAATCCCAATTCAACCTATTGTTTAGACCGGAAAACACCCTTTGAAGTATGGAGCGTGGATTGTATCGGGCCATTAGAACCTCCATCCAGGAGAGGTCATCGGTTTGTGATATGTGCAGTTGACCTATGCACCAGATGGGCAGAAGCCACCCCCGTCAAAGACATAAGTGCGAAAACAACATGCAACGTTTTTGATGAGGTTTTTTTACTCAAACTGGATTTC